ATATTCACCATCAAGTGCGTACAAACTTGAAAACGTCTGCTGATTCGATAAAGCTATCTTATGATAAGAGATCTACTGAAGTCAGCTTTGTACCAGGAGACAAGGTATGGTTGTATAATCCCAGGAAGAACAAAGGGAAGTCTCCTAAGTTGTCTTCTTCTTGGAAAGGCCCATATGACATAATGGATCGTCTCTCATACGTGACTTTTCGGGTAAAATGTGGTCGGCGAGGTAAGCCAAAAGTGGTGCATGCCAACAGGCTTTGGCGTTAACACGGTCCAGGACATTTCAGTTGGGACGAAGTGGACAACAGAACAAATGACGCTGTTGAAGACGTGCCACCTGAAGAAGCCACCGTTGAAGAAGAAACTCTACTCAGTTTTGAGAAGGGAAACGGCGAAGCTCTTGATGAAGTTACTACCATTGATGTGACTGTTATCGACGATAGGACATTTCCTGATGAAGCAGATAAACCCCATAAGAAGCAGAAGCCAACGAGACGGAGACCAGTACAGAAGAAGATACGTCCCATAAAATTAAGAGACTTTGTTGAATTGTAATTTTGTGTTTGTAATTCTGTACATTTAATTTAGTTATTGTTAATTGTTATTGGTTTATTGTAAGTGGCTATTGTTCGGGATGAACAATACTAAGGAGGGGGTAGTGTTGGGTCAGCGAGGTCACGTGACTAGTATTACGCCACTTCTTTCTCGAACCTTCGGGAATTGTCGGGAGGCTACTAGATTGGGGGTAGTCTGGTATATATAAGATGGTCACAACGTGACGGGACGATGTGTAAGGGAAGGAGTAATTGAACTGAGTATTGTCGAGCACGAGCACGTGAAACGTTCTTTGAGAATTATAGCATTGTTATAGAGCGACTGTTGAAATTAAGTGTATCGGTAAAGTTGTATTCGGAAAGAATAAACCAGTTTTATTTAAAAAAGAACTTGTGTCGCTAAAGTTTCGTTGGAACGAATTTACGGAAAATCAACTAACGACTGGAGGCGTAACAGTATTCTAGTTTGTTGTTACTATTGGGTCACATGTGCCGTTTGGACTATAGACGACAATAAATCATATTTAGGTTTGGTGATATCATGTGTAACATACTATAGATTATG